CCCTCCCTCGCCGGGTCTTTACCCTCCTTCGCCTCCTTCTTTGCCTTTTCGTCCCCTCCCTCCTTCTTCCCTCCCCTCTTCCTTCCTTCTTTCCTCTCTCCCTCCCCCCCCTCCTTCCTTCCTTCTCCCTCCTCCTCCCTCCCTCCTTCCTTTCCTTTTCCCTCTCTCCTTTCCCTCCCCTCCCTCCTTCCTTCCTTCCTTTCCTCTCTCCTCCCTCCCCCTTTCTCCCTACCTTCCTTCGCTCCTCCCTCCTCCTCCTTCCGTCCCTTTCTCCCTCCTTCCTCCCTTTCTCCCTGTCCCTCCTCCTTCCTTTTTTTTCCCCCTCCCTCTTTCTCTCCTTCCTTCTTCCTCCTCTTCCGTTCCATCTTCCCTCTTTCCCTTCTCCCTTCCCTCCTCCCCTTCTTTCCTTTGCTTCCCTCCTCCTCCTTCCTTCCTTCCTTTCTCTCTCCTCCCTCCCTCCTTCCCTCTTTCCTCCCTCCCTCCTCCCTCCCTCCCTCCTTCCCTCCTCCCTTCTTCCTCATTCCTTCCTCTCCTTCCTCCCTTCTTCCCTCCTTTCTTCCCTCCTTCCTCCTTTCCTTCCTCCTCCTCCTTCCCTCCCTCCCTCCTTCCCTCCCTCCTCCTTCCTTTCTTCTTTCCCTCCTAGTCCTTTCTTTCTCTCCTTTCTTTCCTTCCTCCTTCCTTCTTTCATTCTTCCTCTCCTTTCCTTCCCTTCCTCCTCCTTCCTTTTCCTCCCTTCTCCTTCCTTCCCTTCTTCCCCCCTCCTTCTTTTTTTTTTTTTTTTCTTCCATTTTTATAAGAGTCTGCATTGTATGCTCATGGTTCACGCCTTTTTTCCCCCAAACATAAAACGAGTCTCCCTCTTTTCAGGAAGGGCACTCTGGCCATGGGAATCTCTTCCACGTTTCCCAGAAGCAAGGTTCCCGCTCGCTGGCTCGGTGTGGAAATGTAAACATGAACGCGCGCGCACACGGTGGACACCCCAGCGCTCCAGTCCCGCGCGGGGCGTCGCTGGGGAACGGCCGGTTCTATCCCAACACCCCGGGAACCTTCCTGGGTTTATTTCGGAACCCTCCCAGGGAGGACTGGCACTGGGAATTACGCAGGATGTCCTAGCCGGCCGGGAAGGGAAGAACGTCCCACAGGGGGGCCGGTGCCAAGCGGGAAATCCGCGCGCAGAGCAGGGCGCGCGGTTTGGAACGCAAGGCTGCGTCTTTTGTCTTCCTGCGTCTCTTCATTATTTTTTTCCCCACGCCTCTTCCTCTTGGTTTCAAAGACCCCGGCTGTACTTTGAGGTTCGACACCAAGCCAGGGGTGGGGTGGGGTCTATATTTACAGCAAAGCATGGCACCGGCCACCCGGCTGCGGCAAAGACGCGTCCTTCCTACAGAAAGCCGCCGTCCCTGATGCCAAAGAAGCCGCCGCCGACGCCGTCCGCCAAGGAAAACACCTGCTCGTGGTCCAAGCCCCACTCGCCCTCATCCTGGTCCTCCAGCTCGGGCTCCGCGCCGCCGCCGCTGCGCGCGTTCTCGTACAGGAAGACCTGCTCGTCCACGTGCGCGGGGGCCAGCCGGTTCCTCTTGGCGCTGACCACGTTGGCCGCGGAGCCGAAGAGGCGCTCGGGCGCGACGCGCGTGGCCGTCACGCACCAGTACTTCTGCAGCACCCTGGGCAGCAGCGGGAACAAGGCCAGGCGGTCGGACCACCACTTGAGCGGGTCCTCCCCGAGCCCCAGCACCTTCTGCGACTTGAAGTTGCTGAGCTCCTCCACCACCTGCGCGTGCCACTCCTCCTGGTCCTCCACGCCGCCCGCCTGGCAGAAGATCTCGGCCAGCATGTTGTTGATGACGCTGGCGGGCGGCGGCGGCGTGGGCGCGGCGGCCAGCGCGAGCTTCTTGGCCGGGGGAGCCTCCTCGGGCAGGGGGGACAGCTTCTCCTCGGGCGCCGCCGCCGCAGCCGGCCGGTAGCCGCCGTCCTTGACCTTGTCCAGGAGGCCCTTGGCCTCCTCCACGACGCGGTTCTCCACCTGTTGCCTCTCGAAGGCAGAGAGGAAGGGCAGCCGCTTGTAGCGTGGGTCCAGGAAGGTGGCCACGTTGAGGAACATGTCGATCTCCGGCGTCTCCTGGTAGGTCTTGGAGAGCTCCTTGGCGATGACCTCTTTGGCCATGCTGATCTCCTTGGAGTCCGCCTCCTTGACGTTGAGCGTGGTGTTCAGGAGCATGTGCAGCAGCGGCTTCACCATGCTGATGGTCGGGTACTTGGAGGCGCACAGCATCTCCGCCACCTGCCGGAAGGGCTGCAGCAGCTCCACGAGGCCCTCGATGGTGGCCCACTCGGAGGCCTCCAGCATGAGGTGGTGGTTGTTGCTGTCCTCCACCAGGACGCCGGCGATGGCGAACTGCTGCTCGCGGAGCCTGCGCAGCATGGCCAAGGTGCTGCCCCACCAGCGGACGCGGTCGCTCACCAGCATGCAGTGCGCGGCGCTGTGCTGCTTCTGCTTCTGGTACAGCATGCACATGGCCACGGCCGACTGCTGGAAGTACTCCACCAGCTTGCGGCAGCGCGCCAGCAAGCCGGCCAGCTTGGGCAGCTGGAACGCCTGCTGCATGCCCGCGTTGAAGGTGTGCCCGAGGCAGGGCATCTGCACGGCGATGTCCAGCAGCGAGCACGCCTTCACCACGTCCTTGCCGTAGTCGGAGGTGGCCCCGAAGACTTTGGCGCTGACGCCCCACTCGATGAAGACCTCGTAGAGCACGCGCGTAATGGTCTCCGCGGCGTTCTCCTCGGGCACCTCGAACGTCTTCAGGCACCTGGAGGCCAGGGAGAGGCAGTTCGGGGGGCCGACGCCCAGGAAGTGCACCGCCAGCGTGACGTAGGCGCGGTTCTGGTTGTCGCTGCGCCACATGTCCGTGGAGACACCGCACCAGGAGGCGTGGGACAGCTCCTTGAGTATCGCGTCCCGGACGGCGCCGTACTTCTCAGGGATGGCCTTGCTGCACAGGTACTTCCTGCTCGGGACCTCGTAGCGCGGGTCTGCCGTCTTCAGCAGCGCCCGGAAGGTGGGCTCGTCCACGATGGACGCCGGGTACAGCCCCTCGCAGACGAGCGCCACCACGGCGGCCGTCAGCTCCTGCTGCTTCTTGCTCTCATGCGCGTGGCCGGACTTGGCGGCCAGCACGTCGGGCGCCGGCTGCTGCGAGGACTCGGGCTTGAGCTTGGAGAAGGCGGTGGCGAAGGCCTCGCGCATCTGCTCCGTGTTGCTCTTGACGAACTCGCAGAACTCCTCGGGGTGGTTCTTCTCCAGGTGGTAGGACAGGTTGGAGGTGTTGCCCGAGTACGCGATCTGGGCCATGCAGATGCGGCAGTAGATCTTCTTCCACTGCAGGATGCAGCCCTCCGCGTTGGTGTCGAAGCCGAAGTACTTCCACACCTTGCTCTTGGCGCGCGGGTGCGCCACCAGCTTCAGGTCCGCCTGGCAGCCGTCCGCGCCTTTGCCCTCCATGGCGTCCCCACCGGAACCCGCCGGCCGCTCATGCGTGGGGACCTGCTAAGAAGCAGCAAGACAAACACAGCGTGAGAAGGGACACGGGAGCGCGCTGGCAGCCCCGCCGGGGAGCGCGCGGGCAGGCGCACGGGCGGGCACTCCAAGCGGCTCCGCTTGGAAGCAGAGGGCATCCGCGCGGTGACCGGACGACGGGGCGCCCGGCTTCTCTTGCGAGTGGCTTTTTGCAAAGCGGAGGGGAAGATTCTGGCACAGGATTGCGCTCTTGCCTCCGGGTTAATCCTACACGGCAGCGACTCCGAACGTGAGAAAGGACACGTTTTTGGTTTGGAGAGTGGACTTTTTGAAGAGGTGTCTACTAGACTGCCTTCCTCGGCGCACGCACCTGTTCACTGTTTCCTGGCTCTGGGAGGTCGGCCGGGCACCCACTGGGTTGGGGAGCCGGGTGCGTCACTTTTTGGGAAACTCCTTGCATAGGGGAGCCCACGAGCGGTGCAGTAGACCCACGACCATCACCATTTAAACCCCTAATCCTTGGGAGCAAAAAGCTGTGTCAAACACCACGGGGGGATGGGTCACGTGCATTGAAGAAGCAAAAACGGAATCTCCATTTGGCCAAGTTGGTCTTTAATCTGGCTAAGAGGTGAGGACACCTATTTCAAACTTTGTTTTCTTTCTCATTCTTTCTTTCTTTTTTTTTTGGGGGGGGGGCAGACAGAGTCTTGCTCTGTCACCCAGGCCGGAGTGCAGTGCATCATCATAGCTCACTGCAGCCTCCAACTCCTGGCCTCAAGTGATCCTCCTGCCTCAGCCTCTTGAGTAGCTGGGACTACAGGTGCACACCACCACGACACCCAGCTAATTTTTCTATCTTTAGTAGAGACGGGGGTCTCACTCTTGCTCGGGCCGGTCTCCAACTCCTGGCCTCAAGCGATTCCTCCCGCCTCGGCCTCCCAGAGTGCTGGGATTACAGGCGCGAGCCAACCGCACCCGTTCAACCTTAAATAAGCTTTCAAATGAAGCCATTTCGAACACCTTGGGGAGCTCTGTTTTCAGCACAAGGGCATGCCCGTTTTGTGACCACATCTCAGCCACCTCCCATTCCTCAATCCCTGCAACCCCTCAAAGGCTCCACGGCACGGGCACGCAGCCCACCTGTGGGCGGAACGCACCTTTGCTGTGCACAGGTGCACCTGTGTGAACATCCCTGGGCTCTCTGCGTGGAGGTTTGCAAGACCCAGACGCCAGCCTCCCCTCCCCACCCCCCCCCAAGGGTTCCTGTTGTCCTGGAATGGCCCACATGTCCCTTGCAGCCACCATTCGAAGACCATCTCTGTGCCTGGGAAGCCCAAGAGCACAGCTGGGCTTTGCTAAAAGGTGCCCGTTAAATCTGCCAGCTTCCAATACCGCACTCCGGAGGTTAAATAACAAACGGCACCACCCAGGCATTTTTTTTTTTTCTTTCTTCTCAGTGTTGGGAATATGTTCACAGCTAAATCAGGCAAGTTTCAATAATCATGACAGAGCAGCGCTCCCCACCCTTTGTGGCACCCAGGGACCCGGTTTCATGGAAGACAATTTTTCCACAGACGAGTGGCGGGGGTTGGGCGGAAAGTAGGGGCAGGGGGATGGTTTCGGGATGATGCAAGAGCATTGCGTCTATTGTGGGCTTTATTTCTATTGTTATTACATTGTAATATGTAATGAAATAATTACACAACTCACCACAGGTTGGGGACCTCTGCTACAGACAGTTGAACAGTGTACACCCCCCTTAAAAAAAAAAACTATGTCCACAGGCTAGGTGTGAATGGAATCTTGTTTAGACAAAGGGTCTTTGCAGATATAATTAAGTGAAGGATCTCAAGATGAGAGCATTCTGGATCAGGTGAGCCCTAAATCCACTGACCAATGTCCCTATAAGAGACGGCAGAGGAGAAGCCACGTGGAGACAGAAGGAGGAGGCGGAGGCGGGAGTGAGGCTGCGGCCACAAGCCCAGGGACGCCCGGAGCCCCCGGGAGCCGGGAGAGGCGGGAAGGAGCCTCCCCTGGAGCCCGTGGAGGGAGCGCGGCCCCGAGACTCCCGTGTCCCACACTCTCGGGCTCCGGGACCGGGAGAGGGGACACGTTCCTGTTGTCTTAAGCTGCCCACTTGGTGGCATTCTGCTCGGCCACCCTAGCACACGTGCACCAGCAGGATGAAACTGCAAAAGGTACTGTGAGCGTTAACATCGCCCTCAATGACGCATGGGGTCTCAGAGCAGACAGTGACGCCCTGCCATGCCGGCTTTCTGTCCGCGGTGTCTGCCTGAGGCTTATCGTGACAGAGCCACAAGGCGTCCCCGAAGCTTGGTGGCCAGGCATCCGTGGACCGTGGCTCCACGACCAGCCCCAGCGCCCCGGTCCGCACTAACGCAGGAGCTGAGGGAAAGAGGGCTTCCACGGGACGTGCCGGCGGGGAGAACCCAACACAACGTCCTCCAGACCCTCCTGTACCGCAGATTCCCCAGCTGGACCCCCCAGACCACTGACTTCTCCCGACCCGCAGACCCAGTGCCAGGA